TTTTTTTTAATTTTATTTTGCAAATAATTTAAACAAATAAAATATTTAAACTGTTGATTCTGCAAGCAATAACTATGATAACCATGCCCGCATGCCAAAACACTTCCATTAGATGAATCGAGAGGATTATTACAATAAGTAGAATCACACAAACTATTAAAGTTGGGTTTTTTTAAAGTAACAAAACCTCTTAGAAGGTAGCAGTCCATTATCTCGTAATCTAAAGATAGTAATTTGTATATATTAATATTATCAGATGAATTCATAATAAAATAGTTTTGGTTAGGCGCACGATAGATTTTAGCAAACATTTCCAAAATTTCTATCGTGCATTTTTGAGAAAGCACCCGCAATTGTTTTGGTGAATACGGATATTTTTCAGAGTGTACAAAATGTTGTTGGAAATCGTTGTTATAGTGCTGCTGGTAAATTAAATAGGCAGTACTTCGTAATTGTTGAGCCGTAGAAGACTAGTAGTATGCCACCTGAGAATGCTATGGAAAAGCTCTACAGGGCAATCGCTTAAAGAAGCGAGGTGATCAATAATCGTATTAATTATTGGATGACCAGTTTCTATTCAATAAAAAATATCAGAGAAAAACATTAAAGGCACATGCTTATAATTTTTTCTGTCAAATGGCAGAAAAAGATCACTCCAACAATGCATGCAAGTATCTTTGTATGCTTGCCAATTACCTTCCCAATGGTATATTGCATAAACATCTAAAACTAAGGGAATTAAATTATTAAAGAGATTAGTTAAATATAAAAACTCAATTTTATTACACATATCGTCTAAAGAATAATTATTGTCTGTCATAATCTTATCAAAAAGAATTTTAAAGTGGTTTCTGGTTGTTGAAGTAATATTAGAAAAAGATAATTGACTTGAGCCACTAGAAGAACCCAGAAAAAAACCAGAAGATCTTTGAGAAAAATTGGATGTAGATACAGATGGGCCAGCAAATTGTTCAGATATTAATGGTGCCACAGAACCCGTCTCAGTTATTTGGTCCAACTGGTCACAAAGGGATTCATAATTGGTGATGATTTCATTAATAGTTTCAATCACAGTATTTACCATTATTAGGATTCTCTGTTTCTTGACCACAATTGTGGCATCTCATGATATAAGATCCGTGGTTAATCTTTCTATACGTGCATCGAGTTCTGCAGTAAGTTGCTATCTGACAACATATGTAACAGAGCACATGGCAACGAAAATCAGATGGACAGGAATTTTCTCAGTGAACATCATTATTAACACAAAAGCCAAAAATGGTGCAATTTCTGAAACATTGATTGAAGACATCTATAACAGGAAAAAAAGATTATTAGTATAAATACATGAGTGCAGGGGTAACGTACAAAAAAATTAATTAAGCTATTGTGATACTGACATCTTATTTTCAAAAAAAATTACAGATACATTGTTTTGTTTTGGGAGAATTAGCCAGAGGCTGGCAAATGCCTAATTTTTTTATTGGTTATTGCGATTTATTACTAAAGGCAATTACAAAGTAGCTAGAATGACTTATTGTTTTATTAGCCATGCCCCCTTTGGAGATATTATTACAGAGAAAATGGTAGAGGGGTATACTAAAGATTTTTGATTTTTTTTTATACAAGATTAAGATTTCACATCTTAGAATCTGATTCGTTGTCTCTGTCAGTAAAGGCCAGAACATACTGGAAAAAAATGTTAATTATGTTATTATTGTATTATTATTAATTTATCATCAAAAACATGTGCGTAAATTTTAATTTTGAAAATGGGAACCTGGATCTAGAAACTTAAAAATATACAGTTTGGGTAACATTGAGTAAGATAAGTGATATTTATTAGCTAAAGAGTTGCTTATACTAAAGCTAGTATATCTGATGAATATTTACAATTACAACGCTAACCATCATATTAAGATCCCACCAATATACACATATATGTGGATTTTTATACAATTAATAACCAACTTCTGAAATAATATTAGAGCAATACGTGATCTTATTTAAAATTTGACTTTCGTAATGCTACTTGTAATGTTACTCAATTTTTGGTTAAGTATCAGATATAATTTTATCACTCCAAGTATAGTTAGCAGTAAAGTCATGTATAATCGATTATTGACAAATTTATCCTATTTTATTAGTAAAAGTAGCAAGACTAACATATCATTCCTTATATTATAGAAACTTCGATATATAGACCAAGTAATATGTATATGCTACTGAGAATATGCTAAAAAGTTTGAGCAAAAAGATGATAAGTTTGGGTATTATTTTATGGCAATCGATCGATTCATTCAAGACACACATGGTATCAGCAGTGCATGTGACTTAATAGGATCATGACCCAGACTAAGATTTGCTTATGTTGGATTTATACATAACATCACTCCCCTGAGGCTCATAGGGGCAACTCAGAGAGTCATGGGCTTTGTCCTATAACGTGATGAGATTTGTATCAGAGATACTAGTTCCATTATACGAAGCATGGGCAAGGTCTTATAAAGCTCAATATTTAACTTTACCTTTTACTTTATACTTTAGAATAAGGCATTTCATATATATAACTTCTATTCCCGAACTAGATGTGGAATTGACATTCGAAGTACTCGAATCAGAAGTTGTAAAGATATTTGATCTGTGATACAATGAATCTTTTGATTTCCCAGGAAGTATTTTGTAAAAATCATAAATATTTCTTTTATTAACCGATATTATAGCTCTTGGCTATTTTCGGTTTTTGATACTCCAGATCCATTGAGATCTTTAATATGCAGAGTTGTTTTTACAAAAGTATCCTCTGTGTCGATTACAATTTCAGGTATGTATGTTTGAAGTTTATCATTATTATACTTTCTACCATAAAACCAATTATTACCCAGTAAAATATAGTTAGGTATTTTAGAATTAGATTTTTCTATGAGTACTTCAGTTGGAATCATGATAGATTTTTTATTACTAAGACAGGTGTTATTTTTTATATTAGAGATAAATATAGATGGGATTATGGTCAATCTAAGTGAAGATGTGGTTTCTTCTTTGATGAATTTACTGTCTTTTTCTTCAGGAGTCAACTTTCTGCTAATTATGCCACCGATTTTCTTGAGAAGTTTATTACTATATATAGAAATCCTAGTTTAGGCAACAATTAACTTTTTGCATTCCTACTTTAGCTTTGACTATCTTCACTTTTATGATAACAATTTATATTATGTATTATATATCTTTAGCCGAAAAAAATTAACAATTAATTATCTGTTCTAAACTTCTTGCCATGAAATCTCCCAGAAGATACTATTAAATAAATTATTCCATTCTGGGTCAGTTGTTCCTGATGATATTCTGATATAATTACTAAATACAAAAATAAAATCACTTTCATCAATTATACCAGTAAAGATTAGATTAGGTAGAGGCAGATATGAGCTCATAGGATTCTCTTCTAGATTCTGTTCATTAGATATGTTTTCACCTCCCACTCTGTGTGTTGTCATCGGATCAGAATTAGAAGTATTAGATGATTCGGAATTGGACCATTCATATGATGAATCATAATTTTCAATATGTATACTCAGATTAAGTCATTTTACAACTTTCTTACTAATATTTTTTTTACAGCCATCCAAATCAAGATATTTTAAATTAGGACATGAATAGGCTATTTCTTTAATGGTTTTATCAGAAATGTCACAAAATCCAAGTTCAAGATGCTGAAGTTTGGAACATGATCGAATAACATTACATATCGATAGTTCGGTAATGAATCCACATCCTCCAAGATCAAGATATTTCAATTCATGGCATATACTAGCTACTGCTTCAACAACCTCATCTCCAATATCATTACCAGAAATATCAAAATATTTTAAATTTAGAGAAAATCTGATAATAGCTACAATAAGAGAATTATTTCGAAAAGTCATAACATGGGCAAAATTAAGGTACTCTAATTTGAGGTGTATTTGTAGTAATATACTAGCATCTTTAATTTTTCCTCGACTACCTCGTATATCTAAGCATCGTAAATTAGAGCATGAGTTTAAAATACAACTTACAGTTCTATTAGTAATCCAATATGCTTCATTAAAATAAAATTCTCTCAAATTATAGCACGACTTTGTAATTTTTATTAATGATTTGTCAATAATACCATTACAATAAGAAATATTTAGATATTCCAATTTATTGTATGATTGTGCAATTTGACATAGTCCTTTATCAGTTATCATTCGATTATCCCATAAATTAAGATGTTTTAAATTTGGATATGATGAAGCTATTTTAATTAATGTCTTATCACTAATGCCTACACTACTTTTAAAATCTAAATAAATTATATTCAGGCAGTAATTTACAACAGATCTAATTATTTTATGTATAATCGAATGATAATATGAAATTTTTAAGCTTTTCAGATTTGAGGCATGGACAGGTTTTTCTCTTCACATATCAGCTTTATGAAACTTTCTAACTACATTCGATATCGTTCACAATAATTTTTTTTTTTTTTTTTTTTGGTATTAAGGTGACCTCTTTAGTCTGGGGAACTTTTTATTAGAGTATAGACGAAGTTTTATA